CACAGAGCTTTCTCGTCTCTTCATTTAATCATTGTATGTACAGAGCTGGGCTGTTATTTACATCCAAGTACACTTGTCTCCGTATAACGTAGCAGCATAAGAGCAACAATTCGATTCCTATCTTGCATGCAGAAACCCGGAGGTGATCTCCCTCCGGCATGATGCCAGCGACAGCAGGAACGGTGCAGCCGGCTGCCACGAGACAGTGGCAGAAGCTAAGTGAGACTGAAACACAACAACGTGCAATACTTGCAGCGTTCACCCTCAGGGTGAGACAGGCGTGCTGGCTACGTGAGGGGAACTAACCCAGCTGGGTTGGCATCTTACAGCGACAACAACCAACCTCAAAATGATGGTGGAGCCCTAGTCACAGCAAGTGATAAGAGGGGCTGCTTAGATCTTCCCTGGCACAAGGATAGCCTGCTGAGCCCAAATCCTTATGGATGGAAATTGCTGGAGCTGATCAGTGCTCTCTATTTGCCTATATAATGACCATGTGGATATGCCTGGAGCATGACTCAGTTGCCCACACATCAGTGATGTGCCACTAAAGTTGCTCCAGGTCTTCCCACCACTGGCCTGGCTCTCCCATAGGTCTTCGATTATATTGGCCAGCCCCATGTATCAGGCATCCCAGAGCACCTCTAATGTCTCTGGACCCCATCTGTGGGCAACTGACCTGAGACCCTCATGACCACGGCTTTTCCTGCTGGCCAACAGCAAGTTAGAGATGACTTCTTGTTTCAGGAGAGGCACTAACTACGTGCAAGATTTTGAGGGCAGTACTTGGAGAATTACATGTGAGCCAGCACATCACACTGAATCCCATCAGCTCCAAAGCTGGCTGAGCTAAGGTGGAGGAGACAGCTGGGTTATGATCAAGCCCAAACTCTGTGTTGAGTTGGATGTGACAGAAACAATTTGTCAGCTCTGCCTGAGCCTCCAAGAGACAAGATGTCAACCTCCTTGGCCATTCCCAGGATATGTCATCAAAACGCCAGTCTGGCACCCCTTGGCTATCTTACTCCAAGGTTAAGACCCCAGGGCCTCAACGCAGTCCTAGCTTGTGATGCCCAAACTCTATGTTGAGTTTGATGGGACAGAAACATTTTGTCAGCTCTGCCTGAGCCTCCAATGACAAGATGTCAACCTCCTTGGCCATTCCCAGGATATGTCATCAAAACGCCAGTCTGGCACCCCTTGGCTATCTTACTCCAAGGTTAAGACCCCAGGGCCTCAACGCAGTCCTAGCTTGTGATGCGAGACTTCATCCAGTCAGCAAGTAAAAGTGTTAAGATCTGGAAAAAGCTAGGTGAGCTCCCAGCTGGGCCAGATCTGAGCACAAACAACAGGAACCCAGGTGTCCCACCATCATTTTGCTCCATCTCTGCTGAGCAAAGGGTAGTCACCTCCAAGAGAGACTGATTACCACCACATGGCCACACAGTGCTAGCAGATTGGAGAGGACGTGATGGGGAGCAGTGCATCCAGTTGTGGGGAGGATTCCTGAAGAACAGGAATACTTCATGGCAGTTTGGCTGGGGCACTTGCCAAAAACATCTGTATTTTATGTCACCATAGCATAGGGGGTTGGTTTCTGCAAGACAGCTGAGTAACAGGAGGGATGCTGGGCAAATTTCAAGACAGGAAAAACCACCGTCAGCAGCACAGGATCTTAACAGGGTTCTGCAAGGCTCCCTGTCATCCTGGGAATGACCACAGTCGAGGTTGCTCAGATGTGGATCAGAACTCTAGATCAAAGTGATGCAGTGAAGAAGAAGGTGAAGAGAGTGTACCTTTCCTCCTCCAAGGTGAAAAATCTGTCTCTGCCACTCCCACTCCATCCCAAGGAGCTCTGCAGTCCCTGATGCACTGTGAGGCCATTGAGTCCATGGGCTATCTGGCACCCTCCAGCAGTCAGACAAACTCGTATGCCTCCAAGTTTCACTGGGACCTTCAAGACACACTCATTCCTGGCACCACTGCAAATAAGATCGACAAAAAAGATGACGGAGAAAACCTGGCGCACTGAAGGGTTTGGCTGACTGCTGCTGGCTGGATACAAGCATGTGGGGAGGCCAGAGAAGCCCCTGCTTCTCCTGTCCATGGATGAGCAAGGAGCTTGGATGAGAAGGTGTCCCACAGGATGATGCCAGTGTCCGTTCCTCTTGAGTGTTAACGCAGCGGGGAATTGCGTTGTACACCTCCTCGACAGCAGATCCTTGAAACTCATTTACTTGGGGTGTTGTTGAGCCACCGACTGAAATGCTGGTTTCTGCAATGGTTTGTGAGAAAGCACCCTCAACGTCAGTAGGGCCAGGAGGAACAAAGTTGAAAATGACCCATCAGGTTATTTGACCCGTCATGTGCTGAGGGCACTTGCTGTTGGCTTTGCTTTTCATGTGATGGCCTCAAAAACACCATATGACCATCTGAGTCTAAGCCTCTTGCAATTTCTCTATGCTTTGTCCTTTTGCCCAAGGGCCCCAAAGCCCTTCACAAGAACAGATGCCTCACAGTTGCTTTGGGAAGGAAGATAACGTAGGTTTAGCTGATGTGGAAAGAGAAGCACAGAAAGCCGAGATGACACAAGACACCAGATCTCCAGCCCTGACATTGTGGGATGTTTGACTCCATCTCGAAGGCCCAGTGTATGAAGTGGAGGAAGCTCTAGGATTTGCCTGACCAAGCGTAACTTTGCGCAGCGCGTGTGGATGTCTCCCTTGGCATGGCAAAGTCTGCTGCTGGGTGGCACCGGCAGGCAGCTGCACTTCTTCCTTGCTGGGGTGTGCAGGCTGATGTCCAAGGACACTGGAGCATCTACAGGATTTGTAGTGGGACTCTTTTCCATGCCCCCCCCAAGGGGTCAGACCTGACCTAGTCCCCCTTTCTATGGCTGGTCCTGGCAGAGGGACATAGCCTGAGCTGCCCTGGTGTCTTCCAGACTGATGGGTTGTGTCTTCCTCCAGCTCCAAAGGCACAGGCAGAAGAGGTGGGAAAAGACAGGTACCATCAACTGGGATCTTGAAATGCTCTGGTCTTATCACACATCTCCATTTCTACGGCTCCAGGGATCGCTGCCAGCCACCCACAGTTCCTGCCCAGTAATACTGTCTGTTGACCTTGACTGGAGGTTGGTGGGACTAACTGAAGTCTCCTCTCTCCTGCTCCGCTTGGAGCTCACCACAACAACGTTTGTTCCCAACTTGAAGGTCAGACCTGGTGATGGGGAGGGGGAGCTTTTGGGAAAGGACACACGGAAAGTGCGTAGCTTCAGGGCTTTTGTTTGGAAGGTCTTCAGTCCCTCAATGCCCTGAGGTTCTTCCTTGGTATGCACATGAAATGCAGTCTGGGCAAACTCTCCCTGGAGTCACTGCACAGACATTCCAAGACATCCCAGTGCTAATTCTAGCTTTGTTCTTCTAGCTGCTCCCTGGGACAAAGAGCTGAAATTCCCACTTGCGTTGATCCTTTGGCCGCTGCCCAGTCAGTGCAAACTCCACTTTGCAACATTTTTTTTCTCCTTACTGTGAGTCACAGTAGAGAAGTGTCCGTGAAAGGGAGAACCAAGCCCACTCTGCCCACCTTTTCAAGGTGAATGCTGGTTTTTGATTCCTGCACCGTACTTGGTGACTGTGCATATAGGATTTGGTTATTATTCTGCCAGAGCATAAGCACTTGCATGATCTTAAGCATTTTCCCTTCTTATGACCGCTTTCATGCTCAGAGTTAGTAGGTGAATATTTTCTTAAGCTAGGCCTGTGTTATCTCTGTCCCTGGAATACGTGATGCCATGTGGGATCACTATGGGTGCTGTTTGGAATGGCTGCACCGAAGGCTAACGCTTGCCCCGTTGCAATCTAGTGGTAATGCTGATGTGTGCTCACTGCAACTCCTGAGTGAGGCTTGGATGCCATTTTTCGAGTAGACCCTGGACCGAGAGAGTGCACCAAAGCATCACTCGTTTGGGAATGGGGTATCACGATTGCCCACTTTTGGGGCAAATTGCTAAAGCTTCAGTTTGCATAAACATCCCACAGGTTTGGAGGCTTCCCCAAACCTTAATTCCATTGACTTTGGGAAGTATGGGGACTCTTGGGAAGGGAAACTGGCTTGGATTTCCAAGTTTTTTTTCCTTGCTGTAGCCAGCTTGAGTATATGCTAAGAATAGGGGGACCAAGGCAGAGGTGGGAGGGTATTTCTGCTCCCTGGGTTGGTCACAACCCAGGAGAGGAGTGGAACTGCAGAAGGAAACCACAACGAAATGAAAACACAGCATATGTTAAGCTCTGCTGAGCCTCCAAAGAGGCTCCTGCTGGGCAATCATTCCTTGTTGGCTTATGTTACCAGGACAGGCTCATCCTGCTCCTCAAGGATGTCCTAACCTCTTGCAACCATGGTAGCCATGGGCTGGCAAGAGGGAGTCATCTGGTAGAGATATGTCTGGTTCACTGAAATCAGTGGCCAACCTCTCACTGACTTCACTTAAGACCACCGTCTAGACAGGATACTTGATGCAGAACGGTGAGTTTGCTCATGATCCTGGGAGCTTTGCTCCATTAGCCAATGTGGCTAAAAATGCCCTGAAAAAAAACCTGCCACTTTGAACTTTTTGCTGCACGTAAACGCTTGGAAAACCAAAGAAACCAAATACAACCCTCCAAAACAACCAACGGAAGAGGGGTGAATTGTAGGAGAGGGGTTGGCAGCCTTTAGCGAAGTAACAGTCACGGCAGATTACAAAAGAGCCAATTGACCCTCACCAGCTGTACTAGGAAAAAAACCAAAAGAGATGTCGCATTATTGATAGAAAAACAACGCACATCCACAGTTATTTTACCTACAGAGCACAGAAGTATAGAGTAAGGGTGATGGAGCTTGGTGCAAGCAGACTCACACCGCTCCTATGGTAGCGTATTATCCTTCGGAAGATCACTGGCTTGAGTAGGTAGTACATGCACAGTAATAAAAAAATCACGTTGTATTGTCTTGGTCGCACCTCAGATCTCGGTGGACTCTATTCGCTCGAGTCTGGAGGGAGTCCATGGTTTTTTATCCTCGGTGTGTGGGGGGCTGGTGGCCTTTGTGTTCATCTCATTCACCTTGTGCTCCAGAAGCTGGTTCTTCTGGTACATCTCCACGTAGTTCAGTTGCAGTTGCTTCTGGTACTTGATGACTTTCTCCTTCTCTTCTTGCCATGTGCGCCGCTCCTCCTCGAAGTCCATCACCTGCTGTTCCCGCTGCTGCCGTTCCAGCTTCAGCTCCGTCTGGAGCCGCTCCACCTCCTTCCGCAGCGTGTTGACACTGTCCTCGCTCTGCCGCTGCATCTTGGCTTCGTCACTCTCGCAGGCCAGCGGATCTCGCAGCTTCTCACCAAGGTCCCCACCAAAAGGTCCTGGAGGTCCCATGCTAGCAAGTGTCCGCTTCAGGCCGGAGACCTCCAGCTCACAGTGGTTCAGTTTTTCCCTCAGCACCTGGACCTCGCTCATCTTCCGCTGCAACTCGCTCTCACAAATCTCCAGGTTGACACTCTTGGAGCTGTAGGAGTCCTTCAGGGTGAGGATCTGCTCCTCCTTCTCGCGTAGGAAGTTCTTACCTTCCTTGAGCTGTGTCCGCAGTCCCACGATCTCATTCAGCTTCTGGGAGACATCTGCTTGGGAGTCCTTCAGCTGCTGCTTGAGCAGGGAGATCTCACCTGCCTTCTGGCACACCTGCGGAGAGAGCATCCGTGAGGCAGGAGGAAGGCAGCAAGGAGCCACCACCGCTGCTTGTCCCCCACACTGCCCGTGAAACATCTACATGGCCTTGTGTTGGCAGGAGGTTCAGGTAATGGAGGAGAAAGGCAGCGATGCTGCGCAAGGTCCGAGTTCCAGCCTTCACCAGGACCCAGACCATGCCAAAGACCTAGAGGTCTTTGTGGGGGAGGTTTGGTGTTTCTTCCTGTCTCTCAAGGACCTGCTGCTGTTCCCAGCTGGAGTTGACCAAACAGCTAAGCTAAGTGCTGTGGTCCTCACCAGTGGTGAGAGGACACCGATGCTTCCTTCTCTGCATTCATCTTACTCACCTAACCACAAGCTTGTGGTGCTTGACTCCAAGCTCTCAGCAGGAGTTTTCCCACTGACCTCTGTGGGATCTGGACCTTGAAGAAGCTTGAGACAGAAACATCTCAGACCCAGAGACCACCAGGGCTCTCCCTGAGCACTGGGAGTGTAGGACAGGATGCAGAGACAGTAGATATTACTTGTCCTATGATGCTTTCCTTCCCAAAGACTCCAAAAGAACCCGGCTGACTAAATTTTAGGGTTCACTTCACTGGGGACAGTCCAGGGACTGGGAGCTATGTAATTCTTTTGGGGCAGGGCATGAAGAGTGACAACCCCTCTACCAAAGATCAAGGAGAGAGCTGCAACCCCCCCTTGCTAAAATGGGACTACCATGCACTGTCCTCAGGCACTGGAGTGTCGGGTTTTATCCTGACTGGCTCAAGTCTCACCCGTATGAGAGGGTACACAAGCCCACTGGAAATACCCATGCTGCGGGGTGTATTTGCATTACGTCAGTGTCACCGCTCAATATGACACTCCTCTGCACCTGCGTAGGCCACCAAAGGTGACAGTTGCACAAATAGTTGTGGGTGTTGGAAGTGAACCATAAAAATGAGCAAACTCTCATTTTCCTAGGAACTCCGTGGATTTTGGGGCTCTGCACTGGTAGATGTGATCTGTTTACTTTTGATGACTGAAGAGACAAACAGTCCCTACCTATGCTGGCAGGAGTCTGGGCTGGGGAGCGGCACCAAGGAACCATCAGTGATCAGAGAGGATAGGCGTAATTAAAAATAGACTTGGTAGCCACCTCCAGACCAGGGTGTCCTGTCCTCCTGAAGTTCCTATCTCTTGTCACACATGAAATGCTTGGCCTTTCCTCCCTCCTGCGGTGCTCCGGTCCCGTTGGGTCACTGTTTCTCAGACAAACTCTCGTCTCCATTGCCTTCACTACAACCTCCACCTTTCTCTGCATCATGTTGAGCAAGACCTTGAAGCTCAGCTATCAGGACAGTCTAGTGCTTACTACAAATGACTAAAGACCTAGGAGACATACCCACAGTCTCCTACTGCTACCGACTGGTAGCAGCTTTCCCTGGAGCTGACAGCCGTGGTGGTTCGCCCATGCAGACCTAATTCTGTGAGTGCCCCCATCCACACCAGTGCTTGTCTGCGGCAGATGCAGAACCATATCACGCTGGTTTAGCTGTAGTTAGAGTGATGTAGTTACCTCCTAGCTAAAAAACTGCACAATTTACTGAAAGTGCTCTCCGTGGGCTAGCTCTTCCCAAAAGACAGAGAAATATATGATGAAGAACAGCTTGGATAGGAATCAACTTACAGATGAAACCACTGAAATTTAGACATCTACTTGGGTGCTGTGGAGATCTAGCCAATGCAATCCATGGGGCCTGGCGAGCAAGTCAACGAGTCAACAAGTGTGGTGTCTACAGATTTTAGGTGTCTTGATCCACAGGCTGAATCCCTGTCTTTACATCGATATCACTGCATTAGCTGTTGCTAACAGAACTGTAGCACAGAAGCAAATAATCACAAGGCTATCTACAGTTTTACTGGTGCAAAATCAGGGAACATTCCAGACCTAGCTTGTTGGAAGACACAAAGGACCTGGTCAGAGCAGCTGGCCAAATCATGTGGGACAATGCAGCCTCCTTGTTCTGGGATGTAACTTGCAGAGATTTTACAGCAAGCCTCTAATAAGCTCTGCTGAACATCTGCAAATAGCACATTTCAGGGCCTAATTAATCCCAGCTTCATTGACTTTCCATCAGGATTAGCAGAATAGGGTCTTCTTGATTCTAGAGCTCTGTTTTGCCTCTGCACTCTTAATAAATTTAAAGTTTCTAGCCAGTTCATGGAAGGATTAAAATTCTTCACATGATCAAGCTGAAAAAAAAAGAAGTTAGCACTGGCTATACAAACGGACTTTGATAAAATGTTCTAAAAATAGAAACAGTAGGGAAAAATATGTAAGACTCAAAAGGAGAACTAGAAAGAGGAATTTGCCTTTCAGCCTTTTGAGAGAGATAAACTTAATAACAACTGAAAACAGCATGTTACAATGGAAAGCATGAGGTAAACTTGGCTATTGGCGTAATCTTAGCTCACTTGCTTTATATCTTAAGTAAAAAAAAATCAAATATTTGAAAAGCGATTTCAAGGTTTGCCCAAACGCAGATGTTAAAAGAATTTAATTAAAATAGACTTAAACCCATTTTTGGTAGGCACAAATACCTGTATGGCAAGATCTGTGTTCACTGAAACTGGATTCAAATGTCACAGGTTGGAGTGACCAGACTGTGAAGTCAAATTATTAACCAGCACAGGAGTTGCGTGCAGAAAATTACTCTCTTTTTAGTTTAATTGAAAACTATAGGATTGGGGCTCAGACAAATGAAGAAGGTGACTGAAGTGTCATCTGTCAGCTGGAGGCCACCAACCCATAGCCATTGTCTGTGGGGTCCGCTTAGGGCAAATGGGAGTACTTTGGGTTACCAGAGCCCTCAATGAAAACCTCACTCAACGTCTGCTACAGCAAGGATCTTACCTCCCACTTAGTCTCTTCAATCTTTGGGAGAAACTCAGCCTGCTCCTTCTTGAAAGCTACAAATTTCTTCTCTAGCTCCTCTCGTTGCTGGAGGAGTTGTCCCATATCGTCTTGGAGTTTTTTTTTCTCTTGCTGAAGCTTGAAGATTTGGAGCTGCAAGGCCTGCTGAGCCCGCTGCGCCTTTTTGGATACCTGCTGCAATTTGTTAGCATAGTTTTGCCTCAGGTCCTCCATTTCCCTCTCCCAGATCTTCTGCTTCTCCTCAAACACTTGGAAGATGGCTGCCTCGCTTTTGTCCAAGTTCCTTCGCATCTGGAGGACCTCCTGCTCCTTCTCCCACAGCCGGTCTTCCAGGTCTTGGATGATGTCATCCGTTGAAGGTGAATGGAAAGGCATCGTTTCGTTGAGATGGTTCAGTCTGTTGAACGAAGAGGTGCTCTTGCTCGAAGACCGCCCGCTGTCTGAGGTAGATATCCCATTGTATCCCACGATGTTCTTGTCCACGTAGGTGGTACCGATGCGGTTGATGTGGCTTGTGGAGGCGCTCATTGGACCCACGTGCTGGCTGTAGCCTGTCCCGTACGTGGGCAGGCTCGTTAATGAGTTACGACCTGAATCTGAAAGGCCCCCCACTTGGTTTGTAGTCCTGTTAAGGCTGCTCTTGTCGAGTCCACTTTTGGGTGCGGACGGGCTATTGCTGTTGGCATGGTTCAAGCTCTTTCTGTTCTCTGTCACCCCGTTGCTCTGTGGCGGGCAGAGGTTCTGCATGGAATGGAAGTTTTTAGGAACTACTGGTTTAAAGGCTGAGGGTCTAACTAAGGGCTCATTGCTCTGCAAAAGGAAAAAGGACCACGCATCAAACATAGCAGGAGGCTTGGTAACAACACATAAAAGAGATACATTGCCACAGGATGAGCCTGATGGAGCTACGACATCTTGGGCTAGCTCCATATTTCTCAGCCTTATTACACCCTGGGCCATTTGGGATTTTACATGAGGGACCTGTGGTCACTCGTAGGGCAACACTTTGTCTTCCCTTGCCCCAACTGAAAAAAAAAATCTTGACTCACCCCAAATCTGCATGATATTTGCCTAGAATACTCCTCAGGTCCTATTAGTGCTCTTTGCAAGAAGGAGGGCTCCCACTTGCCTATCAGACTTGATCAAAACAACTCTTTGATTTTGGCAGATTATATTTGGAAGGACTTCTAGCCTTGAGGGTGCATTACCCTTTTGCTGAGAACTGAATTGCACCCTTGGATTAGCAGCTGTTTTGCCCCAGGAGCATCACGTTTCCCTCCTGTTGGCAGTGATCTCTCCCCTGTGTGGACATCATGTCCTGCTTAGGCTCGGACAAGAGTAGGTAGGGACTGTGACCTCAGCAGTGACACCAGGCAACGAACGTGCTGAAGCTGCTCTTCATTTGAATGTTTTTTTCTGCGGGCATAAGCAATGCTGGGGGGAGAATGGATCACAGCAGTAAAGGATTTAGAAAGGGTTTTAAAACCTTGCACATTCCTCACCCTGTGAATGCACCTACAGAAACAAATTTTTTCTCAAAATGAGACTGAGTCTCCTCTACTGCAGGTTGGGTTTCAGGTGAAAATTAATGCAGAGGAAGCCGCTTTGTATTAGCCAAGATGTTTTGAAAATGCCTTCCAGGAGTAACAAAATGAGCAGGCAAGGTTGGAGACCGAAAACCTGGCACCTGGCATGTAGGACTGAGATGGACTACAGGGGCTGGTAGATTAAGAACCCAGCAAAAAAGGCCACCAAACGCTGCAGAAATAATACTGCACAAGGCAGCGTCCCCAGGACACAATTTATGGAAGTGGATGGAGCAGAGCAGCAGACTATATAAAACACCACTGGATCTGGGGCTCTGCTCCTCCACGCCTGGGAGATGTTTGCTCCCTGAAGCCAATATGAGCCAGGAGGACTGGGCTTGGATGGGCAATGATGCTTACAGGGGTAGTGTTCAAGCCTTGTCAACTTGTCTCTCACAAGGGGCACCGGGATTTTGAACCGATGCTCATAGCTGCTTTCAAGCAACAACTTTTGGTGGCAGTGGGCTGTTGGAGATTGCCCATAAATGGCACAAAACATGAGTGGGACTCAGATGCTGGACCTACTGAAACAAGAGCTGACTCCAGCTCCCTCCCCATCAATTAGGGAAGTAGGCACAGCATCTTGGGTAGGTTAGAACAGCCAGCGACTTAAATAGAGGCTTAAATGAGCTGGAAACTTAGCTGTGGAAAACTTGTGGTTGTGCTCTTGGGTTCCTCAAGAGCTAACATTCCCCCTGAAAGTAATAAGAATTATATTATCTGTACATAAAAATGATGCCATCTACATGGTAAGAATTAGACTGTCTATCAGGATTGCACTGTTGCCCAAGGCTTCCTGGTCTGTGTTTTTAGAGATGTGCTGTGGTCATCAAGCTGCTCCAGGAGGTGGGGATTCTCACCTGGTCTAGTTTGCCGGAGATTGGCAATATCTTTGGTGGGTTACTGGACTCTCGGTATTGGGGAGGAGGTGGCATGTTCTTCTCATTGTTGGTGGTCACGTTCCCACAGATGTCCATCTTCACCTTCTCGCTCTTGCGCAGGTCGCCGTTGATGTAGAGGGAATTGGAGACCTTCTCCGACTTGTATGTCTTCTCCTCGCCGGAGTAGCGGTTGGAGATCTCCCGTGTGGAGTACCCATTGCGAGACCCCTCCATCTGCCGGCCACTGCTCTGCGTCCGGGTCCCCACACTCTTCATGGCAAACTCTTGGTCATTGGCAACTCCGCTGCCCACACTCCCCATGGTGCTCTGGGGGATGGGTTGGGATGGCCGGGGAGCAAAACCGTGGAAGTTCTCCGGGCTGGGGTAGGTTGGGTCACTAAGAATGGGCAGCGTCTCTAGCGTGGCCATGGCAGCGTAGAGGTGAGGTGGAGGCACAGGTCAGTGGCACTGGGAGAAGGAGGAAAAGGAAAGGGCTGTTAAAGAGATGCCTTTTATCTACCATACCCTTTGCAGATCGGCATCATGCAGAGATGAGCAAATCTCTGGGCTGAGTGATGCAAGGACAGAAGCTGTATTGTCTCAGTATATGGCATGGAGCGGATGATGGGGCTGTCCTCCTCTCTGTGAACCCCAGGCCCCCTCGGAGGAGCAGTGTGCACTGGTCCCCCAAAACCCACTCACTGCTATGCAAAAGAGCTGCTCTTAAGCCTCTCAGTCTGAGGGCTTGGTGCTCCCAGCAGCGAGGGTTGCATGGGTTTTGGTGGGCACAGCTCTGCAGCATTGATTGGACATGACCATTTGCAGTTCCCAAACTTGAATTATTTCTGTCACTTTTCCCAGGTTTGAACAAGTTTGTGTGGCCATGGGGATGGAAGGTTTCCAGCCCTGGTCCATCTGTAGGCTCATACACTGTTGCTCCCTCCAGCACGTCCCTTAGGGGTGATTCAACAGGGCTTAAGCAACACATCTTCCATCTCTTCCTTGGAAGTGTTGTCCCATGAACTCGAACTTTTAAAAAGATGCTTTTGTCCAGGTGTCATCCTAAATTTTCTTTTAAACCTTTGTTCCCCTACTCCATTTTATTCTTACCTAGGCTGTGCCTTGTATGGGCCAAAACTCAGCCATGGGAAGTGGGTAACATGCACATAATGGCGTTAAAAGTTGTCTTTGACCAGGTCAAAGACATTGAAACCAGTCCTCACATGTCTGAATGCTCTTCCTCAGCTCCATCACCATCGCAAACCCCAGTCCTGCAATTTCCAGTCTGGCTTCGTAGATGCCCAGGCCTATCTGTGTTTTGGGGAAATTCTCCAAATACTGATGGTTGCATTGGTGCTGAATGTATTATCAGCTGAGGCAGTCAAGGTCCAGAGCTGCTGGTGCTAAGACAGGTTTCACATGGGGACAATTTATAACTTCCTAACAGGCCCTTTGAAAGTCCCTTCTGAAAGTCCCAGCTGAAAAATCAAGCTGTTTCTGCACTCTTGGACTCAGCAGTGATGGATCCGCTCTGCCCTCTCCCACTACCCCCCAAGGGTGACAAAACCTCTGCAGTCATGCCCCAACATGGACTGGGATGGGGGTAAAAAAAACAACATGGATTTATTTCTCTCAACAGAATTTCTTTAGTTACAGAAACCCATGGGTTTTTCCTGATGGGTGTACCCATGAAATATGAGTTTTGGGGAAGCTGCTCCATGTTGAACTGAGCTGGAGCAGGAGATGGAGATCTTGCAGAGAGTGACTGCATTCCCCACAATGCCCATTTCCTCTGCTGAGGTGTTAACTCAATCCTCTGTAATGCAACCAGCCCCACAAAGGTGTAAAATTGTATTTAAGGAAATAAAAAGACTCACAACAAATTTTTTTTTTGTTGCCTTAATGAATAATGGAGAATTTGAGCCTGTACCAGCTAAGGATCTCATTACCTGAGGGAAGGGAGAAGATGCATTGCCAAAGGTGGGTGATTGCAGTGAATCCTGGGGTCTGTATTTGGGGAACGACTCTCACAGCTCAATTCAGTCACCGGTGCACGAGTGTCCAGGCCCCTGGGGTGGTCTATATGTCCTCCCAGTGCCACTCCAGAAAGGCTCAGGCCTCCCTGGAGTCCTGCCTCATATCTGCCGGTCTGTGCAGATGTCTCTGATACCTTCAGACTGGACACAGCTGAACCAAGCCTGGAGGAGCAGGGTCAGTGGCCCATGGGCAGCTGTGGGCATTTAACTGACCAGTGTCCACCCACCCCTACTGAGTTCATTGGCTTGGTCCCCGTGGACCAGAAAGGACCCTTTTTTTTTGGTCCCAGGAGCCTCCAGTTCCAGGTTTCTCAGGCTAAACCATCCTGGCAGCGTGGAGACCAAAGCAGCATTTAGGGGCAATGGGAGGTGCAGGTTTCCCCCTGGATAAAAGAGGGATAACAGAAGTGATGCCCTTTGGAGAGAGGTTCAGTGATGAGGGGGCTCAGGCCGGGCCAGCAGGTAGGGGAGACAGAGAAAATCCCCATTTCAGTGGGGTTTTCCCTCTTTTTGGGGTAGGGATGTTAAATCAGCCAACCCCAAGTAAAGCAGGAGAGCTGGGTTTATTTCCCTGGAGAGCTAGCTTAGGTCTAGAGCTCAGCTCCGATGTGGTGTCTCACGGGGTCTTGCTATTTGCACTAATAATGGAATGGAAAAATAATTAAAAAGGTTAAAGCAGGGTCTGTGCTGCTCGATTTCGCTTTTATTAAATTGCATTTCTGGAGGCTTCTGCCAGGCGTGCTGCCTGTAGCCTCCTCCCTTTTTCCAGCATCCTGATCTTATAGAGAGCTGCCCTGACCGAAATATGTCCCGAGTGTTGTGGGGCTGGTGGACAGACGTGGCAAACTGCTGTGCCGGAGGGAGAGGACACAGAGCTGATACCTACAGCAAGCTGGCAGAGCTCCTCTGGGGCAGAGCAGGGTACGGAGGTGGTCACAGAGGGAAAAAGTGGTTTAAGGAGGTGCTCTGGTGAAAGCCACCATCTCAGCTGAACTCCTGTTGAGGCGTGAAGGAGCCTCCGTGGTCTGAGACACATGAGATGTGCCCCGTCATGGACAGGAGACAAGGCAGCTGTGAGGCAGAGCAGGACGTGCCTGGTGGGATGTAACCTTCTTCATCCCCTTGTACATCACCCCACCCAAGGAGGGTCCCCAGGCGACTTGCCCCACTGAACCACCAGCAATATGAAGCGATGAGTGGTGGGTGAACATTTTGTAGTCACTGCTAATGACCTTCCCGCAGCTTGCACCTTTGTCTCCCAACAGAGATGTCTCCATGTCACTCACTGGTTGAGGTCTAAAGACCGAGCAGCAAACGAATGTCACACGAGCATCACACGGTGCAGCGTGGGGACCCACTACAATCAAAACACGTCAATGTTTATCAGTAATAAGTAACAAAACCTCCACGAGGAGAGAGAAGTGTCCAGGTCTGGTCACGCATCTGGTGTGCGACATTTGGACACCTCTCTCTCCAATGTGCTGAGCAGGACTCAAAGGCTCACGACCCCATTCCACCCTAAAGGCATTTTCCAAAGAACATCACCACAGACAGTTTGTGAATGCACGATGCCCAGAGATTAATCCAGGTGCCTGCTGGGCACCTGGAGACTTGGTTGGGCTATGGAGTGATGAGGAGGGATGGAGAACACCCGTCTGAAGCCACACTCAACCCACGAGACCTTTGGATTTTATTAGTCAAGGGAAGACTCATTGTTCTGCTAATTTAGGAATAACCTGCCTTTCAGTGACTTTGGGATCCTTAGAAGCTGTGTCTATTTTTTGTGGGACACCAGCCACCACGGGAGGGATGTGCTGGAAGGTCTCAGCTCCAGACAAGGGAAAGGCAGTGGCTGCATCGCCTCCATGCAGTGCTCCCCAGCCTCATTCAGCTGGCAGAGGAGAAATCCAGGTTACCTTTTCCTCACTAGGTAAATTCCACTGTGACATTTGCACATTTACATTGACTTTCTGTGGGCAGGATGAGGTCACCGGAAAGTTTTATCCTTCCAGAAAAAAAAACCAAAAAGCCAACACAACAACAAGCAGTATGAGCTAGGGAAGACAAATGTCCTTAGTTGGCTGAGAGCCACAGCCTCGGCAGAGTCGTGGCAATGTCCCAAAACACCGCAGAAGAAGGTGGCGGCTCAGCCCCATGGCATGTCCATCGGTGGTCTTCACCAACAGAATATCACAGCCTTTCTCTGCCCTTGGGGACCCCCTGGCTCCTAGGCGGTAGTTTCCACATCAAGGAGGCTTCTGCTTAGGGCCATGTCCCAATCCCTCCGGGACTTTGAGCTGGCATTCCCATTCAGTGCCAGCAACACAAAACCAAGGAGGCTTCAGCTGCCTTCTCGAGATGTGGGATCAAAGCTGCACCACAGGGACAGACTCTGAAAATGGACCTTTTTCTATGTTTTTTTTTTTTTCTTTTAACTGGGAATCATCCAAGAAAATATTGTAAAAAAAAATGGTTATTAGCTTATGTTTACTGTAAACCCGGGATCTGATAAACAGAGCATACGGACAGCATTACTAATGTGTTATTAGGGAGATTCCAGAAGTGCCAACAGATCCCTGACAGTGCAGCTGTGTTTGCCAAAAAGGGCCATTTTTTCCAGAACAACAGCTCTTGCTTTTGTATCTTCTGGCCAGCTGCAGTTCCAAGTCAGGTTTTACCTTGGTCATTCCTCAGGTGAACTGTGAAATCAAGTTTTGAGCACAGCGAGGTAAGGAATAATGCGGTCACGCTCCGGAACAGAGCTGGAGGGTCATTTTTTTCTCCTTCCAGGTTTGGAGGAATGCATGATTAAAAAAATTCCCCAGGATATTTCTCCACCTTAAATCTCATAACTGCCTCCCTCCCACAGGAACACGAACTAAAATTGGGTTTATGGATGATTCCCAATGAGAGGAACAGGTATGCTGAGCCTGGCAGTCCGTTAACACCGGAGGGCTCAGGGAAGCTGAATGGTTCACCCTTACCAGCGTTTCACTCCCAAGTCCTTTCCTTTTTGGAAGGAAAGAGGAGTCACCTCCAAGCACAACTGGGCTTGGAAGAGACCCCTGAGCCACGGCAGAGGGGTGAAAGTAGCTTCCCCTGCCCCATGGTGGGGTGAGGAGGCTCCAGACAGGCAGAAAGCCAAAGCAGGAGTTTTAAGCAACCTGCCAGCTACTGCCCTTGCCAGATGTTTTATCTTTCCAGATGTTACATCCCATCTGCAGTGGTGAGGATGCACCAGGACCACCTCACTCTTCATCCTCACCAGGCTCTCAAGAAGATACAGGGTCCATCCCACCTCCCGAGGAGGACTAGCTCTACCCAAATTGCTCCCGAGTGACATATGTCCATCCATCCATCCATCACAGCAGCCACCATCTCTGAGAGCCAACA